ATCCCATGGTCCTATGATCTTTGGGGTCCCTCCCAACCCAACTGTGTTCTGATCCCATGGTTCTGTGATCTGTAGGGTCTCTTCCAACCCAACTACATTGTGATCTCGTGGCTCTATGATCTTTAGGGTCTCTTCTAACCCAACTGTGGCCTCACATCCATCCCTGAGAAGGTGATGGAACAACCCGTCCCATCTCAAAGCACATTGGGGGGGGTTATAAGGAATGGGGCGGTGTGGGATCCGCCCCATAGAGAGCATCGCGTCGCTCGCTAGATGGCGATGTCACCTCGAGCGCGGGGTCCTCAGCAGTGCTGCTGCGCCGGGAGAACCAGGAGGAGGCGGAGTGGGACCTCGTGTGGGGTTTTCCTGAGATTTGGGGGCACTTTGGGGGGATTTCTGCCACCAACAGAGAGGACGCGGAGCTGCCCCCCCTCTCAGTTACCCCCTGTTTTGCTGCTGTGCTCTCACAACGCTGTGTTGGGTTTTTTGCATCGGTTCCCCCACAGCTTTGGGATCCCCACTCGTTCTCCCTCCGCCCAGCTTTGAGGTTTTTTTTTTCCTTACAGCCTCCGCAGCCTCACGGTCCCATTGTGCTCCTACGGGATGCGCGCAGCGCTCCAAAATCAGCGCCCGGCGCTCAGCACCGCCCCGAAACCATCCGTCTGCTCAGCCACGACCTCATCCGTAGCCTCGTGTGAGTCACACGCCCCCAAACACCCTCACAACCCCCCCCTAAGCCCCCTCAAAACCCCCCCAAACAACCCCCCCCCCCCAAGTGCCAAACACCCCCAAGCAGCAGCGATGCCCCCTCCCTGTGCGCACAGCTGTTTGTCCACAAGGTTGAGCAGTCACAACCCGGCTCTAATTACACCACCTCATTAAAAACCCACAGGACACAGTGCCATTATCCCGGGCAAACCCCACTGAGCCTCATTTTGACCTTCCTCCCCCCCCTCTCCCCTTTTTTTTTCTCTCGTTTCACCTCCCTGCTTCCACCCCATAAAGACGCACCGCAGCCCTTTGGTTTTAAGTTGGGCTGAGGGTGCCATACACTCAGAGCCCCAAGTTTTGAGCCCGCTGCCCATATTTCCCCCACGTGGCTCCATCAGGAAGCATTTGGGTTCCTTTTCCATTCCTAAAAATCGAGGTGCAGGTTGGGCACCCAAACACAGACAGCTCAGGCTGCGGTCGCTGTGTCACACCATTTATTAGGGCCGTTGGTGCCACTACCCATTCTTTAAAGCGTCCTGGAATCCGATGCTGTGATGCTGGGGCACTTATTATGCAGGTATCTGTCCCAAGGGTGGATGAAAAGGTGACACATAATAACAGTGACTGCATTCTTAGTCCCCAGAGCCTTCAAAGTGCTCTGTGAGTTTGGTTAATGCACCACACGCGTCGCCGTGCTGCAGCTGAGCAATGCTGGCAGTAATTAAAACTCCTCACAACTCACCTGGAAATAATAAATAATAAAAAAAAAAAACCAGCCCTGTGTCATTATCCACATTTTTACACGTGGGGAAATGGGGGCACTGAGGTGGTTTCCTCCAAAGCTGAGTCACTGTGGGGCAGAGCTGCGTCCTCCCCTCTCACCAAACTCATTCCATCCAACTGTGCTGCACCCTTGGATCTCTCTGCTTGAAGCCTTGTGCTTGGGGGGCACAACCCAGCTCACTTCCATCCCCCCAGTGGCAGCTGTGGGGCTGGATTGGCTCAAAGCTCTTTCAGTGCTGTGTGTGGGGCTGTGCAGAGCATTGTGGCTTCCCCCATTTCCCAGCTGCCATCCCTCTCTGCTCAGGACAGGGATGTCACAGCACTGAGGTGACACCACAGTGCCATGAGCACACCAGGAGGGTTTGGGGGTGAGCTTAAGGAGGGTGGGGGGGGGGTGAAGGATGCTCAGCAGCACTGACTGCTCTGCTCTGTGCCCTCCTCTCACAGCATCCCCTCAGAGAAGCCAACACCAGCCCTCATCATCGGCCTGCAGGACTTCCAGCGCATCCAGGAGTCGTCCCGAGTCCTGAGCAAGGAGCAGCGTGCAGCTGAGCTGGCAGCCTTGAAAGCACAGAGGGAGGCAAACCTTGTAGGCACCCCCCCTTGCCCACCTTTAATGCTGTGGGGGGCACCCATAGGGTGTGACCACCCCCGGATTGTGGTGCCCAGCTTCAAATCCTACATCTCTCCAACCCTCTGAGCCCAGGAGGGGTTGTGGGGGGGTCCCAAAGTTTGCAGTGCTGCGTGGGCTGCACCCCACACCTCCCCAGTGCACCTCTGAGGGGTGTCTTCTTCAGAAGGGAGTGGGATTTTGGCCCAGGGGGTGCAGGATGGGGGCCCAGGGGGTTACGCAGGGTGGTGGCCCAAGTGTGAAGGATGGTGGTCCAGGGTTCAGGATGATGGCACGGGGTACAGGGTGAGGGTTCAGGGATGCAGGATGGTGGCCCAGAAAGTGTAGGGTGGTGAGCCAGGGGTCAGGATGGTGGCCCAGGGTATGGGATGGTGCCCCAAGGGCTCAGGCTAGTGGCTCAGGGTGCAGTCTGGTGGTCCAGCAATGCAGGTTGGTGGCCTGGCAGTGCAGGTTGGTGGCGCAGGACTGCAGGTTGGTGGCTCAGCTCTCCCCCTGTCCCCTTAGGAGGCCATGAACGAGCGCAAGGCAGCAGCAAAACGACAAACCCTCCTGCAGCAGAGCAAGCAGAGTGACCTGGAGGAGGAGGCAAAGGAACGTGCCCAGTATCTGCTGCAACGGGCAAACAGGATGCGCATGGAGCAGGAGGATGAGATCAAGGAGTTCAGTGAGGTAAGGCCAGGAGGTTCTCATCCTCCTCCCCAACATCACAGAATGAAAGGGGAGAGGTGGCACGAGGTACCCTGAGCCCCACAGGGCACTGTGGCACGGTGAGAACGAGCTCTGAGCGCTGCCTGCTGCTGCTCAGAATTGTCTTCTTCCCTTTTCCATCTCCTGCTCTCTATCTGTACCCATCCACTGAGCCCAGGGACGCTCCTTGTCTCCACAGCTGCTCCTGGGTGTGAAGTGCCACATGATCCGTGACACGCAGATCCTGGAGAAGAAGCAGATAGCCAAAGAGCTGGAGGAGGAGGAGAAACGCCTGGCCAGGATGATGGAGGTGGAAAGGCAGAAGGCCAACGAGATGCAAGAGGAGCTGGAACGCAGGAGAAAGCAGGAGCTGATCCAGTGAGCAGCAGGGCCCCTTTTTGGAGAGATGGATTTGGAGAGTGGACTGTTTGGTGGATAAAGGGTTGGTGGACACAGCTGTAAGGCTGTGGTCAACGGCTCTGTGTCCAGTGGGAAGTGGTGATGAATGGTGTCCCCCAGGGGTATGTCTGAAACAAAATGCTCTTCTTATCAGTGGGATTGAGTGCACCCTTAGTGGTTTGCTGGTGGCACCCACAGCTGGGTTTGGGGCTGGGGGGTTGTAAGGTCCCTTCCAACCCAACCACGCTGTGATCCCATGGTTCCATCGTCTTTGAGGTCTCTTCCAACCCAACCACGCTGTGATCCTATGATTCTTTCCAGAGGTAGACGGGAGCTGGTGAAGCAGATTGAGAAGAACGCAGAGGAGCGGGCGCTGAGGGCTGAGCAGAAGGACCAGGAGAGCCAGGAAATGCTTCGGTACCTGGAGCAGCTGAAGATGGAGGAGCAGAAGGTGTGCTGGGCAAGAACCAGGGGGCTGCTGGGGAGCAGAAGGGGATGAAGGCAGATTTTCACCTCTTGGAATTGTGACCCGGTGCTGGGGGAGTGGATCTCAGTGCAGAACTGAGGCTGTGGTCTCTTGGGGAGGATGAGCCTTCTTCCAAAGTGACTCTGAGCCCACATGGAGGAAGCACTCCATGCACCCCACGGACCCTCAGCTCTGTGCTTCAGGAGTTGAAACAGAAGAAGGAGCAGCAGAAGAAAATCCAGGCTGAGATTAAACGCATCAATGACGAGAGCCAGAGGTGCAAGGAGGAGCAGCTGCAGAAGGAGAAGATGGAGGATGAGCGGGTTCTCGAGTACCAGAAACAGAAAATGGTATTGGGGATGAGCACAGCAGCATGGGTGGGTGATGGGATGCAGGGAGCTGCCACCAAACTGTCCCACGTAGGAGCGGGAGGCAGAGCTGGAAGCTGAGCAGGAAAGAATCCGTCAGGAGAAGGAGAAGGAGACGGCACGGCTCAGGGCCATGCAGGAGAAGGCCCTTGACCAGCAGGCAGAGCGGGTGAGTGTGCTCTTGCAGCTCAGAAAGCAAATGGGATCCTGGGCTCCATCAGCAGAGGGGTGGCCAGCAGGGACAGGGAAGTGATTGTCCCTCTCTGCTCTGCTCCTGTGAGGCCCCATCTGCAGCACTCTCCCAGCTCCATCCAGACAGGGAGCTGTTGGAGGGGGTCCAGAGGAGGCCACAAAGATGAGCAGGGGGCTGCAGCACCTCCCTGCAAAGACAGGCTGAGGGAGCTGGGCTTGTTCAGCATGGAGAAGAGAAGGCTACAGGGTGACCTCATTGCAGCTTTCAGTAGCTAAAGGGAGCCTACAGACAGGAGGGGAGTCAGCTCTTGGAAAGGGGAGATGAGAGCAGGACGAGGGAAATGGCTGGAATTGAGGGAGGGCAGATTTCAGTTGGATGTCAGGGAGAAGTTCTTTGCTGTGAGAGTGGTGAGATGCTGGAACAGCTGCCTAGAGAGGCTATGGATGCCCCGTCCATCCCTGGAGGTGTTGAAGGCCAGGTTGGGACCCTGGGCAGCCTGGGCTGCTGTGAAATATGGAGGTTGGTGGCCCAGCCTGTGGCAGGGAGGTTGGAGACTCATGATCCTTGAAGCCCCTTCCAACCAGGGCCAATATGTGATGGCTGGCGGATCTGCCATCGTGGAGCAAGGAGCACAGCCATGAAAACCATCCCTCAGCAACCTTCCAGCCTCACTGCCATCCCCTTCTGTCCCTGTGGGTAGGACGCACTGAGGGCCAAACGCAGCCAGGAGGCAGCTGAGAGGGAGTGGAGGAGGAAGGAGAAGGAGGCAGCACGGAGGAAGGCTGAGATGGAAGAGCAGCTGCGGCGGGGCCGGAGCCAACAGATTGCTGAGAAGGAGCACTGCATGGCTGTGCAGGTGATGAGGGACCGGCACGACTTCGAGCGCATCCTCCGGTGAGGTGGGATCTGTGCTGAACTCAGTGTGATACCGTGGTTGGGTGGGAGGTGGGAAAATGTCAGCTCTGAAAGAGTGGGGGTCCATCACTATGGGCTGCCCAGGGGAGGGATGGGATCACCGTGCATGGAGGTGTTCAGAAAGTTGGAGATGTGGTCCTGGTAGGTGCGGGTTGGCGTTGGGCTTGGGGAGTCTTGGAGGTTTTCTTCGACCCTTGTGGTTCTGAATGGGAATGGTGGGGATGCATTGGGGTTGACCCTGGAGTTCTTGGAGGTCTTCTTCAGCCTTCATGGTTCTGTGAGTGGGAATGGGGGGAATAAGTTGGGCCTGGACTTGGGGGTCTTGGAGGTCTTCAACCTTTGTGGTTCTGTGATTCTATTTAGGATCATGCTTTAGTGGGAATGGTGGGGATGCGCTGGGGTTGGCCTTCTGGGGGTCTTAAAGGTCTTTTTCAACCTTTGTGATTCCCCATTTCTGTGATTATTTCTGTTCTGATGAATCCATTTCTGATTAGACACAGTAAGGGTGGGTCAGTGTGGTGATCTTGGAGGTCTTTTTTGACTTTAATGACTCTGTCAGTGGGCACAGCAGGGATGGGTTGGCGATTGAAGATCTTGGAGGTCTTTTCCAACCCTACCAGCTCCACGATTCTGTGATTCTGACATCAGGGATGGTGGGGAGGGGTCAACTTGATGATTCCAACCTGGATGATTCTACCATTACACAACGCTACGAGCAGTGAGGACGGGTTAACAGTTGGATTTGATGAACTTGGAGGTCTTCTCCCCCCTCAGGGCCCAGCAGAAGCAGATAGAGAAGGAAAAGGCAGAGGAAGCTCGGAGGGCAGCCCTGCAGTTGGCCCATGCTGATGATATCCGACGTCAGATAAAGGAGCAGCAGCAGCTGAGGGCCCAGGAACGCATGGCTGCCTTTGAGGAAAGCCAGAGGCTGCAGGAGGCAGCTCAGCAGCGCAGCCGACGCATCGCCCAGCTCAAGCAGCAGAAGATCCAGGAGCTCAGGTGGTGCCCACAGCCCTAAATCCCATCCTGGCTTTTCCATTGGGTGTCTCCTTCAAACAGAACCCGCTCCAAGGTTGTGTGTTCAGCCCAGCATTGGGATCTGATGGTTTCTTCTCTTTGCAGAGCTGCTGGCATCCCGGAGAAGTATTGTGCCCAGGTGGAGCGGTGGGCAAGGAGTGGGGCTCAGCCCCACACGGGGCAGAAGGCAGCAGCTCAGGAGTTTCGGCTTTCTTAGGCAGAATTGTCTACAAACAGAGATGTTTATGGAACAGACAGCATCTCCTGTCCTTCTCTTGCTTCTCACCTGCAGGTCAGGGTTGGGGTTGGGGTTGGGGTTAGGTTTGTGTTAGGGTTGGAGTTAGAGTTAGGGGTAGGGTTAGAATTGGGGTTGGGGTTAGGGTCAGGGTTGGGTTAGGGTTGGGGTTATGGTTAGTATTGGGGTTGGATTTAGGGTTATGCTTACCATTAGTGCTGGGTTGGAGTTAGAGTTAGGGGTAAGGTTAGAATTGGGGTTGGCGTTAGGGTCAGGGTTGGGTTAGGGTTGGGGTTGGGGTTATGGTTAGGAACAGGGTTGGGTTAGGGTTGGGGTTGGGGTTATGGTTAGGGTTGGGTTTGAGGTTATGGTTAAGGTTGGGTTGGAGTTAGTGTTAGGATTAGGGTTAGAATTGGGGTTGGGATTACGGTCAGGGTTGGAATAGGAGTTATGGTTAGGGTCAAGGTTGGGTTAGGGTAGGATGGGAGTTGGGATTAGCATTAGGAACAGCCCCCTGCCCATCTCTCTTCTTGCTGGGGACAGGAGCATCCCCTGCCCTATTCCTGGGGGCTCTGGTGTGGCCCCATGACCCAGCTGGAGCCCAACCCGGTGCTGTCACTGCCCCACTGCCGCACCCGCCCTGTGAGCACCACTGGCTCAGCGCCGTGTCACCTCCAGGCCCTGTGGCTGTGGCCTTGTGAAGGGACAAAGCAAAGCGTCCAGAGAGTGATGCAAACCTTGAAACAACAACAACAAAAAAAAAAAAATACCCACAACAAACCACAGCAAGACAGGGAATGGCAGCTTCAGAGGGCTGGGATCCCGTAGGAGTGGCTCTGATTAATTCTCCGAGCAGCTGAAAAATAAGGAGAGCCTGGAAAGGCGAGACTGCCTGGGGCAGGGAGACAGCATGGGGGACTGCAGGATGGGCAGAGGGGGAATCCCACCTCCTCCTGTATCCACAAACTGCTGCTTTCCCTCTGGGTGTCCCCGAGTGGCAACGGGGCCAAGCACCACGAGGCTGCGTGGCTGCTTTTGGGTCACCCTGAGTTGTATGGGGCCCTCAGTGTCCTCGATGGTCACTTCCATCCCTGTCAGCACCTTGGCCACGCAGTGTCATGTCCTGTATGCTTCCCATCATCACTGCGTTGAGAGGATGGTGCCATCCCCACCCATCCTGCACGAGGAATGCAGAGCCACCAAATCACGGCTGCACCACAGTGGGGTCCGTCCCCTCGGTGCCGCCCCGGGGGGCCCCAAATCACAGACGCTGCCCAACACGTGCCTCTATTCCCAGCAAGGGTTAAAGGACAGCGATGAGCTCAGTGTGGGGACAGTAAATGGAGCAGCTGTGGCCCCGGGGAGCGTTTGGGGCTGGCAGGGAGGTGCTGCCCATCCGGATCGGGCAGTGGGGTGGAAAACACCGGCGGAGCCGAGCTGTGCCGCGGGGCACCGCGCAGTGACCGGAGCTGCCCTGTGTGTGCCACGGCCCCAATGGGGCACTGGGATGGCTGTGGGGTGCTGCTGCTGGGGGTCCCAGGAGTTGAGAAGCCCCCATGTGGCCTTTGTCACCTGTATGGCATCCCCGTCCCCAAGCCAGCCGTGCTCGCTGCGTGGCATTGCTGTCCCCAAGCCTTCCATCCCGCTCTGCTGGCCCTGTCCCCAGCACCCACTGCTGGATCTTTCCTGTCTCCAACCCATCCATGGTCACTGCAGGTCCCCACCTCCTCCATCCCCACTGCTGCCACCACGTCCCCACATCACCCGATGTCACCCGGGTGGGCTCAGTGGTCCCCTTGTGGTGCCAGCATCCCCATGCCCCATGCCAAGGGGGCAGGACTAGAGGAGGGATTTGTAGGGGATTAAGCCCGTGGTCCAACCACACCTTTAAGCTCCTACAATCGTGTCCCTCTCCGACACCAAAACCCTTTTGGGGCTGCACAGGTAAACACCACCATCTCCTCAGGACCCTTCCAATGGATCCCTGGTGGATCCTTCCCCACCAACCCCACTGCTGCTTATCATAGGGTGAGACCCCCCAAGTGGGGTCTGCAACCCCAAATCCCCACCCTACTTCTGGGAACGGGTGCCACGGAGCACCCCAATGCTCCCATATTACAGCCCCCCAGCCCCACTCCAATGGGATGCAACCCCATATGGCACAGCAGCTCGTAATTACCGGGTAGGGAGTGGAGCAGGGCGGCTTCGCTCACGCACAGCTCGGAGCCACTCAGTCATCCCAAAGGCATCCGCCCCACAGGGAGGAGCGCCCAGGCCCAGCATGTAAAAGGGCTGCTCGTGTCGGGTGGTGCTTTGTCGCCTCGGAGCCTTCATCCACCTGCACTCCTCTTCCTCCTCCTCCTCCTCCTCCTCCTCAGCGCCGGCACCGCAGCTCGATGGCACGGCACGGCGCCGGGCAGCTCCTGCTGCTGGGGCTCATGCCAGGTAGGTGCCCGATGTCACCGAGGATGGATGGAGGGGACATTGCCCCATGGGCACCCACGGGATGTGCCAAAATCCCAAGCTGACCACGGTGACCCCAGTGGTGTCGACAGTGATGGGTGCTCCATCCCGTTGGGATGTCCATGGATTGGGGAGCCATGAGCAAGAGTGTTGGGTAGTGTGGAGATGTGGGGCAGGGGGGCTGTGGGGTGTAGGGTTGGGATGGGGTATAGGGTCAGGGTACTGTGGGTTATAGGGTTGGGATGGGATGGGTATAGGGTCAGGGTACTGTGGGTTATAGGGTTGGAGTGCTGTGGGTTATACGGTTGGAATGGGGTGGGTTATGGGGTCAGGCTGCTGTGGGGCACAGGGTCAGGGTGCTCACACGTTGCCCCTCTCCCCCAGCTCTCCTCCTGGCTGTAAGGATCAACAGCAAAGGCCGTGAGGTGCTGTACTTGGCCAAGGGAGACTCAGTGAAGCTGGGTTGTCCCTACGTCCTCGAGCCTGAGGACAACGGTCCCCAGGGTGTGGGAATTGAGTGGATTCAGATCACACCTGAGCGCACCGGCCCCGAAAATGTGGTAAGTGTGGGGCACTGGGTGTGGTGTCACTGAGAAGGCTCTGTCCTGTGGGGTGGTGAGGGGATGGAGGGGGAATGGAGAAAGGATGGGGAAGGATGGAGGAGGGATGGGATGGGATGGGATGGGATGGGATGGGATGGGATGGGATGGGATGGATAAGATAGGATGGGGTATTGTGGAATAGGATGGGACAAGGAAGGATGGCTAAGGAAAGATGGAGGAGCAGATATGGGGCAGGACAAAGGGATAAGGAGGAATGGAGTAGGATGGCATGCAGGAAGGATGCAGGGACACGCGGGGACGCAGCAGTGCCACGCAAGGAGCAGGGAGGGAGCAGCAGCCCCCTCTGCCCACCCTCACACCTCGTTCCACCCCATCCAGTTCCTTTCCTACCACGACCACCACGTCAACTACGGCAGCGGTTCGGGGCTGCAGGACCGTGTGGCCTTTGTGCAGAACGACCCAGGGCAGCACGATGCCTCCATCCGCCTGGCAGACCTGCAGGTCTCTGACACTGGAACCTATCAGTGCCGTGTCAAGAAGAACACCGTGGCCGTGCACGAGGTCATCGTCACCGTGCAAGGTGAGACCCCCCGTCCCACTGCTGCTTGGTGCCATGATGTGGTGGCACCACCAGTGTCCCTCCCTGGTGGTGACGGTGGCCTTAGAGGTGATGGTGGCTCTGGGGGTGACCACGGTGGTGATGGTGGCCCTGGAGGTGGCCATGTTCCTCTCTGGTGGTGGCATTGTCCCAGCTGGTGACCACGTCCACAATGGGAGCGATGGCACTGGTGGTGTCAGTGTCCCAAGTGGTGATGCTGTCCATGGTGGTGGTGGTGACTCTAGAGGTGATGGTGACCCTGGTGGTGACCATGACTCTGGTGGTGATGGTGGCCCCAAAGGAGACCGTGACCATGATGGTGACAGTGTCCACATTGGTGTCAGTGTCCCTCATGGTGACATTGGCCCTGGTGGTAACCACAACCCTAGTGGTGGTGACAATGTCCCTCGTGGTGACCATGACCCTGGTGGTGATGGTGGCCCCAGAGGTGACCATGACCATGATGGTGACAGTGTCCACAGTGGTATCAATGTCCCTGGTGGTGACCATGACCCTGGTGGTGATGGTGGCCCCAGAGGTGACCATGACCATGATGGTGACAGTGTCCACAGTGGTATCAATGTCTCTGGTGGTGACCATAACCCTGGTGGTGATGGTGGTCCCAATGGTAACCATGACCCTGGTGGTGACAATGCCCACAGTCAATGTCCCTGCTGGTTGTGACAATGTCCCTAGTGGTGACGGTGGCCCCGGTGGTGGTGACAATGCCCCGTGTGGTGACCACAACCCCGGTGGTGACCCTGTCCATGGTGGTGATGGTGGCACAGGTGATGACGATGCCCCCGGTAGTGACCACATCCCCTGTGATGACCACATCCCCGGTGGTGTCAATGGGCCCGGTGGTGCCCACACCCCTGGTGGTGACGCTGCCCCTCGCCCCGCAGAGAAGCCGGCCACTCCACAGTGCTGGACTGAAGGAGATCAGGTGCTGGGCAGCAGCATTTTGCTGCGCTGCTACAGCCGAGGAGGGGCCGCACCGCTCGGCTACCAATGGGCCAAGCTGGCAGATGGCTATGGAGGAGGACGGCTGCCCCAAGGAAGCATCCAAGGTGGGCACTAGGGGCTCCCTGGAGGGACAGGGGCTGCATGGGTGTCCATGTGTTCCCATGTTCCGTGTGTTTCCATGTCTGTGTGTTCCCATGTCCGTGTGTTTTCCGTGTCTGTATGTGCCCAGGTCTGTGTGCATCCATGCGTTCCCATGTCTGTGTGCACCATGGGTGTGGATGGATGTGGGTGCCCATATTTGTGTGTTCCCATGTCCATGTGTGCCCAGGTCTGTGTGTTCCCCTGTCTGTGTGTTCCCATCTCCACATACAACCACATCCATGGATGTCCATGCACACGTGTGCTCGTGTGCTCTGACCACGGGTGCCCATATCTGTGCTCATATCTGTATTCCTATGTTCACTACCACCCGTGTCCACGTGTGCTCCTGTCTGTGTGCTCCCAAATCCATCAGCAATGTGTCCTCACACACCCACATCCGCGTGCCCCCATGTCTGTGTGCACCCATGTCCGTGTGAATGCATGTCCGTGTGTCCCCATGTCCCGTATCCCATATCCCTGCATCCTATGTCTCTGTGTCCCCACATCCCTTTGTCCCCATGTCCCTGCATCCCATGTCTCCATGTTCCCAAACACCCCATGTCCCCATATCCCCCCACTCCATGTCCCCCTGTCCCCATATACCCATGTCCCTGCATCCCATGTCCCCGTGTACAACCCCATGTATGTCCCCACACCTCTATCTCTGTGTCCTGATGTCCCATGTTCCAAATCCCTGCACTCTATGTCTCTGTGTCCCCATGTCCCCATGTACATCCCCATGTCCCCACACCCCTGTCCCTGTGTCCCCATGTCTCATGTTCCATATCCCCTCACTCCATGTCCCCCTATCCCCATATCCCCATGTGCCTTGCACTCCACGTCCCCATGTATGTCCCCATATCCCCATGTCCCCATATATGTCCCCAAGTCCTCATGTATGTCCCCATATCCCCATGTCCCCATATATGTCCCCAAGTCTTCATGTATGTCCCCATATCCCCATGTCCCCATATATGTCCCCAAGTCCTCATGTATGTCCCCATATCCCCTTATCCCTATGTCCCCATATATGTCCCCAAGTCCCCATGTATGTCCCCATATCCCTATGTCCCCATATATGTCCTCAAGTCCCCATGTATGTCCCCATACCCCCATATCCCCATATCCTCACGTATGTCCCCACGTATGTCCCCATATCCCTGCGCCCCCATGTATGCCCCCCACATCCCCACACCCCCAATCCCTATGTCCCCACACTCACCCCCCATCTCCATCCCCTCAGGCCGTGCTCCCGGTGATCTCCTGATCCGCAGCCTTTCGGAGGCTCACGCTGGTGTCTACCAATGCCGGGTCACCAACCGTGTGGGTTACGCCACGTGTCAGCTCAGCATCAGCCCTGCACAGAGTGAGTGCCACCAGGGGGGCGTGGGGGGTCCCTGTGGGGTGATGGTGACGGTGACAGGCTGTGTTTGTCCCCGTAGGAGGTGGCCGCCAGGCGGGCGTCATCGTGGGCTCTGTGTTGGGCTCGTTGCTGCTGCTCAGCCTCCTGGGGCTGCTCATCGGGGCTCTGCTCTGCCGTTACCGTAGGAAGGAGTGCCAGAGGACCTGCAGCGAGTGCAGGTGAGGGGCAGGGGGAGGTGGGGATGTGGGGATTTAGGTGAGGACATGGGGACATGGGGACATGGGGACGTGAGCATGTGTGGGCATGGGGACGTGGGGATATGGAGTTGTGGGGACGTGGAATGGGGGATATAGGGATTTATGGGGATATATGGGGTGGGCACCAATGGGCACTGAGCCCATGGGCAGCACTGGGTGCCACTGGGGACCAGTGGGTGTCAGTGGGGATCAATGGGTGGCCACTTGTATGTATGGCCACCACGTGTCACCTCTGGGTGCCACCAGGAATGGGTGCTGCTGGGAGATGATAGGTGACAACGGGCACTGATGGGCATCAAGTGATGCCAACAGGCACTGCTGGAGGGGCCACCAAGCACTGATGAGGAGCAATGGGGGACGATGTGTCCCACCAAGCATTCATGGCACCGATGGCTGCCACCAATGGGGTCCAACCAAGAGCTGATGGCATCCATAGGTGCCACCAAGAGCTCATGGCACTGATGGGTGCCACCAGGTGGGTCCAACCAAGAGCTGATGGCATCCAGTGGTGCCACTAAGAGCTGATGGCATTCATAGATGCCACCAAAGAACTGATGGCACCAACAGGAGCCACCAAGTGCTCATGGCACCGATGGCTGCCACCAATGGGATGTAAACAAGAGCTGATGGCATCCATTGGTGCCACCAAGGGGATCCAACCAAGATCTGATGGCACCAACAGGAGCCACCAAGTGCTCATGGCACCGATGGCTGCCACCAATGGGATGCAACCAAGAGCTGATGGCATCCATTGGTGCCATCAAGGGGGTCCAACCAGGAGCTGATGGCACCGATAGGAGCCACCAAGAGCTCATGGCACTGATGGGTGCTACCAGGTGCGTCCAACCAAGACCTGATGGCATCCATTGGTGGCACCATGGAGGTCCAACCAAGAGCTGATGGCATCCATTGATGCCACCAAGAGCTCATGGCACTGATGGGTGCCACCAGGTGGGTCCAGCCAAGAGCTGATGGCATCCATTGGTGGCACCATGGAGGTCCAACCAAGAGCTGATGGCATCCATTGATGCCACCAAGAGCTCATGGCACTGATGGGTGCCACCAATGGGATGCAAACAAGAGCTGATGGCATCCATTGGTGCCACCAAGGGGATCCAACCAAGATCTGATGGCATCCATAGGTGTCACCAAGTGCTCATGGCACCGATGGCTGCCACCAATGGGATGCAAACAAGAGCTGATGGCATCCATTGGTGCCACCAAGGGGATCCAACCAAGAGCTGATGGCACTGATAGGAGCCACCAAGAGCTCATGGCACTGATGGGTGCCACCAGGTGGGTCCAGCCAAGAGCTGATGGCATCCATAGGTGCCACCAAGAGCTCATGGCACCGATGGGTGCTACCAGGTGCGTCCAACCAAGACCTGATGGCATCCATTGGTGCCACCAAGGGGATCCAACCAAGATCTGATGGCATCCATAGGTGCCACCAAGTGCTCATGGCACTGATGGCTGTCACCAAGGAGGTCCAACCAAGAGCTGATGGCACCGATAGGAGCCACCAAATGCTCACGGCACCGCTGAACACCTCTGGGCACCCTTGTGTTCTGACGTCTGCCCCCGGGGGGGCTCTCTGTGCCTCCCCCTTCTTCTCAGGAGCAGCACGGGCGGCACCATGACCCGCACCTGCAATGTCTGTGCCCACCCCTACTCACCCCACGGCATCAGCTACATGCAGTGCCAACACGGCGACGGTGACGAGCGCGCGGCCGCCCTGCTCTGCAACGAAGGCATCCGGCACCAGGTGGCCTGCCCTGCTCTGTAACCCCACATGGGTTCCCTTTTTTTGGGGTTCCCAACCCCACTCCATGGAATTCTCCGTGTAAAATCGAAGCCAAGAATTCACCTCTTCCCCACCTCAACCTCAACACGTCGTTGGGTTCGCCATTAGCTTTGGGGGTTGAATTATTATTGTTATTATTATGCTTTTTTGGCCGTTTTTTTATTGTATTTCCACGCTGTTCCAGCCACTATTTATTTCTTGTGTCCCCCCCCCCCCCCCCCATTCGTCCCACTGCCCGGTGCCCCCCCCAGGATTGGCTGCAGCAATTTGGTGTTCATTGGAAACGCCGTCGGCACCGGGATCAGCAGTTGGGAATGGCAAAAAAGAGAGAGAAATAAAGGAAAGAAATCGGAAAAAGGAAATAAACCCAAAGTGAACGAAGCGCTGCCCCGTTGCGTGGTCCCAAAATGGGGAAAAGGGAGTTTGGGGGGAGTGAGGGGGGGTGGCATTTGTTTAAACAGAAATCATTATGGGATGACCCCAAACATTCACCCCAATGATTGTATTGACCCGAGTCATCACACCGTCCTCCAACCCTGACCCTATGCTTAACTCCTAACCCTACACACCGACCCCAAAGCCCGAACTGTTCCGACCCCAAAGCCCGAATTGTTCCGATCCCAAAGGCGGAGCCGCGGCCGTTCCCTGCATTTCCCCCTTTGGCCGCCAGGGGGCGTCGCTGGGGGGGGGCGGTTGCTAGGAGACGGAGGACGCCGTGATGGCGGCGCGGTTCAGCGCGGGGCAGGTGGGGAGCGGGGCTGCAATGGGAGGAGTGGGATGGAGGGGGGGAAATGGGTCCAAACCGAACCCTGAGCCATCGGAAGGACCCGGATTCGTGGATCCCCGGACCGGGGGGGAGCCGTTCTCCCATCGGCTGCTCTCCCCCCGCAGTACGAGGACGCCTTCACCCCTCCCCGCCTGCAGAACTGGAGCGTTGCCCGGCCCTGCCGGCAGGTACCGCAACAACGAGACCCCCCCGCCCACCCCACGCCAATCCCGGGAACGTCTGAACCCCCCCATCCCATCCCCGACCCCCATTGGGACACCCCCACCTGCACCAATGGCCGCCCC